GCTTCCACTGTCAAATAACAGGCCTATATAACGTGTTAGTCTCACAGAAGGTGGTTTCAGAAGGCAATAGAAGAATCTGGGGGGGGGGAAATATTTTAATTTTTTTTTCCCACAAAGCAAGAGGCAGAGAAAAGACTGGGAAACACTCCAAGAGGCTCTTGGACAATAACAGCCTCCCCTAATTAGAGAGAATTCAATAAGACAGTAATCATTAGGTTTATTTATATCTCCTGAAATTAAAGCAAAATGAGAAACACCAGTTCATATCCCCTGCTGGAGAAATTATAGATGAAAAACATTTGCCTGCATGTGTTTTTGTACTACCTCATGCCAGGAGTGACCCCAAAAAAAGCCAAATAATATCAACTCAATGTTTCCTGAGTTTCTGTTTGATGCAAGGTACGGTGCATATCTCAGGGAGTCCTTGGACATCATACTGTTACTATTACTACTACTAATACTAATAATAGTAATAGTATTTAAGTTGTTTGGGGCCTGAGTCCACTGGAACATAAGACTCCATGGACCACTTCCTAAACCTACTCTCATATGCCCTTATAAAATGGGAGAAAGAATGAAAATCTGACCAGTTATGAGAAGATGGATAAATGAGTCACATATGTGAAATTTCAATATGGAAGTCTGATATATAAGAGACTCCAGGAATCTGATGGATTCTAGGTCCTCTCAAATTCAGGACATGGGTTCAATCCAATGTGCTGGGGACCTTCCTCTAGTTCTTTTTTTCTTCTTCTAAGTTTATTTCCATTACCACGGAAAGAATGTAGGATTTGGCATCAGAAGACGTAGTTTCAGATGTTGACTCTGCCGCTTCAATTCAGCCATCATTGAGTGCCTACTGTGTGCAAGATCCTGGGGTAAGCGTTAGGAATACAAAGACAAAAATGAATTAGTTGCTGCCCTAAAGGAGCTTCTATTCTGCTGATAGAAAACAACATGTACAGAGATAAGTAAATACAAAATAAATGAATATAACAACAACAAAAAAGGCCTCTTAAATGTCATTTGAGCAAGCTTTGAAGAAATCTAGGCATTTCACAAGGCAGAGATGAGGAAGGGAAGCATTAGATGCATTAGGGAAGGCCTTTCCTAAGGTAGAGAGACCTGGGTTCAAGTCAGGGATATGCTGGCTAAGTGTTTAAACAACTGACTGTCTGGGTGGGTGTGGAAATGTACATGTAACATGTTTTTAAGTTTAACCAGCATTATTTACATCTTCTCCTATCACTTAAATCTAGGCAACCAACAGAAAGTAAATCAAGCCCTGATTTGTAGCATTTGCCATTGCTCACACTGAAATTTTAAGTCAGCTTTCCTAAACAGAGTTGAGGTGGTTCTAGCACACACCTCGTTCAAATCTTGACTCAAGTTACCTATTAGCTATACAACCTTAACCAAGTTAGATTAACCAAATTAACTGAGTTAACACTTCTGAGTCTCAGTGTCCTTATCTAGAAAACAATATGGTTAGACTACATGTCTTCTAAGGTTCCTCTAAATCTGTGAGACTTTGACTGAAAGATTTTTCAAAAGGTAAATCAGATATAGGAAGGATGAAAGATTTTCAGATCTTAAAAAACTTCTTCTCAGCCTACTATTGATGCTTATTAGGTAGCAACTAAATCCCAGGCCTCTTTCTCCAATGACTTCATGCCTCTCTGTGCTCTTTCAAAAAAAAAAATAGGGGTTAAATCAGCTTGAAATGTAGATAACAGAGCTATATAATCCCTTATTCACAAAGAGTGGTTCAGAAGGGGATGGAAGGTCTTCAGAAAACAAATATTGATTTTCACAGAGCAAGAGTTGGCAAAACAAACAAAAACAAACAACAAAATCTAGTAAATATTGTAAGGGTCTCTCAAACAGTAGTAATCTCCCCTAATCGGAGGAAATTATTGATTTTTCATAAGAAAGCATTGAGGGGCATGTCTGATTTTTATTAAATATAGTGGCAGGGCCACTAGGTGGCATAGTGGATAGAGTGCTGGGCCTGAAGCCGGGAAGACTCATCTTCCTGAGTTCAAATCCAGAGTTCAAAATTTACTAGCTGTGGGACCCTAGGCAAGTCATGAAACCCTGTTTGCCTGTGTTTCCATATCTGTAAAATGAGTTGGAGGAAGAAATGGCAAACCACTCCAGTTTTTGTCAGGAAAATCTAAATGGAGTCATGAAGAGTTGGACGTGACTGAGCAACAACAAAAATGTTATGGCAGCTAGAGGCCGCAGTTGTGGCAACGTAAGAGCACAGAAATTGGAGTTGAGACCTAAGTTTGAAACCTGCCTCCAGTCCTTATTAGCTATGTGACCAAATCACTTATGTTCTCTCAGGCTCAGTTTCCTCCTCTGTAAAATGGGACCTTAATGATTATCATCGTCATATGGGGCAACTAAGTAGCACAACAAATAGAGCCCCAGGACTAAAGTCAGGAAGGCCTCCCACACTTCCTAGCTATGCAACCCAAGGCAGGTCTCTGCCTCAGTTTACTCACCTGTCAAATGGGGATAATAATAGTACTTATCTGCCAGGGTTGTTGTGAGAATCAAGTGAAATGATAATTGTAACGTGCTTAGCACAGTGCCATTATACAAATGTTAATCATTAGCATTATTATTGTTATTATTATTATTATCATCATCATCATCATCATGGTGCTTTAAGGTTTGCAAAGCACTTAACATAAGCTAACTCATTTGATCCTCACAACAGCCCTGTGAAATAGGTGCTTTTATCCCCATTTACATGTGTAACACGCTTTGCCAAAATGCTGAGTATCAATATTCTTAATGCCTTTTTTTCATGGGACCTTAGATTTAGAGCTGGAAGGGACCTCAGAGATTAGCAAGTCCGACTCCTCTATTTTACCGACGTGGAAACCTGGGCATAGAGAGGGTCACCCAGTAAATGGCAGGGCTGCGCTTTGTGAACTCAGGTCCTCCAGTTGCAGCTCTTAGCCCTGGTGCACTCTCGCGTTTTGCCTCCCAGTTCACTTTTTGAGTGAGCCAGCTTCCTATGACTAGGAAGTTTCAAGCCTGTGGGAGTTATGGGATACAAGAGAGCTTCTTTGCCTTTGATGTTGAATGCATTTCTACTCAAGTCTCTTTGAACAGCTGCTATGGGCGAGGCACTAAACTAAAATGCTGGAGATACTAAGATTTTAAAATCTGCAAAATGATACTGTCCTTATTCTCAGGGTGTTTGTAATCTAGTAAGTAGCTCCAAACTGTGGGGCATTATTTGGTTAGGTCTTGGGTGTCAGATGTAAGGGAAGAACGCAGCACAGATTCCAAGAAGTGTTAAGACATATATGTGTAGAGAGCTAAAATGATCAGTAGCTTGTTTGTACATAGTCGTTAGGGCAGCTAGGTGGCACGATGGCCAGAATGCCAGGCCTGGAGTCAGGAAGACCCATCTTCCTGAGCTCAAACCTGGCATCAGACAGTTACTAGCTGTGGGAAGTTGCTTAACCTTGTTTGACTCAGTTTCCTCATCTGTAAAATGAGCTGGAGAAGGAAATGGCAAACCACTCCAGTATCTCTGCCAAGAAAACCCTAAATAGGGATCACAAAGAGTTGGACACAACTGAAGAACAGCTGAACCACATAGGCATTGCCTGTTGTCTCCCCGATTCATTGTGAGCTCCTCTAGGGCAGGGACTATTTTTTTATCTTTCTTTGTATTATCAGTGCTTGACACATTTGTTGTTCAGTCTTGTCCTACTCTTTGTGACCCTGTAGACCATATCAAGCCAATACGTTCTGTGGAATTTTCTTGGCAAAGATACTAGTTTGCCATTTCCTTCTCTAGTGGATTAAGATAAACAGAGGTTAAGTAACTTGTCCAGTCACACAGCTAGTGAGTTTCTGAGGTTAGATTTGAACTCAAGTCTTGCTTTCCCCAGGCCCAGAACTGTTTCCACTGAGCCATCTAGCTGCTTTGGTAGGCACAAAGTAGACCCTTAATAAATGCTAATTTACTGACTGACCTATTAATTCATATTTATGACTTCTGATGATATAAGGTGACTGTTTAGCATACAAAGTGAACCAATAACCCATTTCATCATACAAGAACGATTTTCCTATGAATTCTTCTGTCTGTGCCGTCCCTTAAAAATCATAAATGCAGACATTGTAATATGCATTAGTTATATATGCCACTATATTAACATTTGGAATTTCTGAGTACATAATCTGTAAAGTATTTCTTACAAGTATTTCATAAGGGAAATGGTCTTGAACATGAGATTTTTTATTTTTCCACACCCACCTTGTTCCCATTCTCTTCCTCCATATGATTTGCATATTAAACAACTTCTGCCCTACAAAGTGTTGACTTGAAATTTCTTCATACATTTCTTGATTTCTGTCCAGGTCTATTGCTTCTAACTTATTTCTGTTGATCTTCAATAAATACAAGCTAAAATGTACTTTAGTTTCCTTGCAGTTAAGCCTTAAAGTAGTGTTGTAGGCCCTTTATTAGACATTAGTATGTAGTAGATGCTAAGCACCAAGAAGTAACAGCCAGAGAATCAGCTCTTGAGTCAGAAAAACCTGGGTTTGGGTCCTCCCTCTAACACCTACTGGTAGGGGAACTATGAGCAAATCGCTTAACCTCTTGCAGTGCTCTAGGCCAGAGTTTCTGACACTTTTTGATCTCAGTACTGCTTTATACTCTTACAGATTATTGAGGACCCCACAGAGCTTTTATTTATGTAGTTCATATCTATCAATATTATATTAGTAATAAAAATGTTTTAATATTATCATAAAAAAGTTGCAGGTCAATAAGGGCATTTACACATGGGTAGGACCCCATACCAATGGAATAACAAGTCTGAAAAACAGACAGAAAATGTGAGTCTTTGGTTTTATGGAGATCCAAGTTTTCAATCATTGTGTTCATTTAACAGTACCTTTTTTTTCTTCCTAAGAGATTTCTAGAAACAAACCCTTCTTATTCTTTTCTGCATTTTTTTCAGCCCTTTCTAAGGCACACGATGAAGTCACCACAATGAAGAAGCAATCTGAGAGTCTTTCAAAGGAATATGACCGCCTTCTAAAGGAGCATACACAGCTTCAGGTATGCAAGATTGTTGTAATGATAATTGCTAAAGTCCAGCCTTCTGCCACTTGCTCTCCCCAGATCCAAGAGGATAGATTTAAACATTGCCTCCTAGACCCTTCACTAACTAAGCTAATAAAAAGACCATCCCAGGGCAGTTTCTCTCAAGTGAATAAATACTACAGACCTGGAAAATTCAAAGAGATAGTCAGCTTTTTGAATCTCAGCCTTTAGTAAAGTTTAGAAAGCAGATACTGAACCAAAGAGTAGAAGTATCAGAAAGGAGAGAGTAGTTCACTATTGATAATCTGACTTGAGCTGTTTGCCCCAAAGGGTGAAAATTGAAGTTTCGGAATGAGTTTACTTTCATCACCCCTTTTTCTCTCCAGGGTTTTAGATTTCTGAGAGCATAGTAACCATCCAAAGTTTAGATGTGACCAAGTTTTCTTTAGCCATCTGGTCCCTGTGGCTCCTGTGATATTTCACAATATAAAATTTCAACAATCTTACTCTCATTTAAGTGTGACAGGTATAGACTTCATTTAGCAAGGACCCTTTTGTGACTTTGATTTTGGTATTTGCATCCTGGAAACTAGGTGAGGAACAGACTTTGAGGGATAGATGCTGTCAAGAGCTAAACCGTCATTAGTCACTGTTGTCTTTTCAGTAGCAGCTTTTCAGTTTTTGCTTATGTTGGGCAATCTTCTGTTTAACATAGGCTTAGGGCTGTCTTCTCTTGAGGTCGTTCTTTCTTTTATGTCACCATGCCACTTTCAGTACAGTGACCCTGATATTGAAGGGGACACGTACAAACAAACAAAAGCTTTAAAAGAAGGAACAAGTTTATTTACTGTAAATGAAATCCCATTTCTTCTTTTCAGTCCCTCAGGAATTCCCCATCTCTTTCCCTTGTTGGCACTACGAGAATATGAGAAAATAACCCCTTCAAAATATGTAAAATTCTCTTTTTACTTATTTGTCTTTGCTGTCTGCAAGAAAGGAGACTGGCCAGTATCTAACTTTGGGCAATACAGGTTCACACCCCTATGTGGAGTTCTGCCAGCATTCAGAGTTCACTTTTAAACATCAGACCAAAATGTAGTCTTTGTTCTGAGAGACTTGTGTTTCATTGGTACTCAGTACAGATTTGTTGGTTTGATTGGGACTTAGGGGACTATATTTATGAAGATAGGAAAGTGGAACTTTCTGGCTCAACATTACTTCTTGCTGAACATTTTGAAACATGCCTTCATAGCTGAATGATCAGTCAGTAAGCATTTATTAAGTGCTTACTGCATGCCAGTCACTGTGCTAAGCACTGGATCAACACGAATGTTTGATGTAGTTGGTCCTGAAAAACCCTGACTCCCTAGCTTCTCTAGCTGTGAAGCATTAAGGAGCAGACTTCTTGACTACCAGAATGATGAAACACTGGGAAGGGAATAAGCATTTCTTAAGTGCCTACTGTGTGCCAGATGCTATGCTAACAGCTCTACAGATATTACCTCAGTTGATCTTCACAACAATCCTGGGAGGGGTGCTGTTGTGATCTTCATTTTAGGGTTGAGAAAACTGAGGCAGATGTTAAATGATTTATCCAGAGTCACACAACCTAGTTAAGTATCTGAGGCTGGATTTGAATTCAGGTCTTCCTGACTCTAGGCCCAGGGTTCAATCTACTGAGCCACCTAGCCACCTCTGGAGCCAGCTACTGAAATAGCCAAGAAGGCAGCAAGTATTCTCAAAGCACTTAATGTGTGCCAGGCTGGAGATACAATTACGATAAAAAAGAAATATAGTTCTGCCGTCAAGGTGCTTATATTCTAATGAGGAAAGGTAATATACAAAAGGGAACAGAGAGCCAGAAGCTCTGGCTGGAAGGGGAATGAGGCATAGTTGGCCTAGCCCATGTCTAAAATGGAGACACCCTCTCCCACCTCACCCCCCACCATTCCCCTAGGAAATTCAACAAGGAAGAAAGGGAGTACTACATGGTAGAGGAAAGTGCCAGTGTGAGAAGCCCCAGGTCCTGATTGCCAGGACCAACAAGATGGAGTTGTCTGTATCTGCAGAGATTTAGAAAATTATTAGACAGTTTTCTCTGCTGGTGGATACAGGAGGGGTTGAAATGATTGATCTTCCTGCTTTATTAAGAATCTACCCAACCAGGAAATTTGAGAAACAAAGAAAAGCCAATATATCTCCCCCTCGTCAGCTTCTTTTCCTGGAAAAATTCTGATTGTGTTTGTAGTAGTAGCAATCTTAAAAAAACAAGCAAACAAACCCTCTTTTCACCTAGAGTTAGTGCAAACTGGATCAAAATAATCAATGTTTAGAATTTAAAAATGAAATCTGACAGGGTGCTTTTGTCCTGAAACATTTTTCCAAGTAAGACTTCCATATGATAAACTACTGAACTATACTGTGATCATTTGCGACTTTTTTTTTTTGAGAAAAAATACTAATAGAGTCTTTGCTTTCAAATTTCATTTGTTTTTTCTTAATATATGTTCTCTTATTGCTCCCTCCAAAGGGTCAAAAGATATATCATTTTAAAAAGAAAGGGAAAATTCCTTTTTGATGATAAGACTGTGATTTTAAGTCTTTGATGTATTTTCTTTTTGCAGGAAATTTTAGCAAAGAGTGAAAAGAAAAAAGACCTCTGAAAGAAGATTGAGATGTGGTAAATTGATGCCATCTGTATTGAGGTGGTGAACTGATTTAACAAGTTTGGCCTTGGTGGCCTTTAAAATGAAATGAAATGTTAAGAAACAATGCACTGTTCATCACTAGCCAATCATAGCTCTTGAATGCCATATATGTATCCTGTGTTGCAATGGCAATATCAATAATGTATGCTATATTTGGTTGTGTGTCAGATCTGCTGTGAAATCTGTACCCCAGCTCCTGAAAAGGAAAAAAAGAAGTATCCTAAGCACAGTCATTACATACCAATAAATACCACTGGTATTCTGTATTCTCATTTCCTTTAAAAAAGAAAGGAAAAAGTTATCAGACAATGGCTTCCACCATCTGTCTGAGAATTTAAGTTGTGTAGGCCTAGATTTGAAAACATTGATGTTATATCAGTGAAGACAAGAATGCATCTAAATTATTATTACCATAATAATTTAGAAATTGTATTTACTGTCAGGAAATGTTTTTCACAAGAAGAGTAGATATGGGTGATCTTTATCAGCCATTATGTTTTTATATGCTGGGGTCTGAAAAAATATCTATAAAAAATGAAACAGGTTATTTTTTTAAATTGATGTCATTGTGGGTCTTATTTGCACATCAGCTATATTGACAGCTGTGTTTTGCTCATTGGGTTTCTGCATGAGCTTAGTTGTTTTTCTTAAAGTTATTAAAACATAATTAACAAAAATGTTGGCTTCTCAAAGTCTCTCTGTGGCAAGCTCTATATCTGTTTGCTCTTAACTACAGTGTCCCTGAATCTGCTATTTACAAAAATAAAATTCTTCAAGGAGAATGTTAACATTTAAGTCACCCATAACTTTGTCATGATTTTACAATTGTACCTCAGATATATGTGCACTGGCTTTACAGACTGTCTGAGAAGTCTTTAAATCCCAAAAGGTAAATATTAAGCACTATTTTCCCATTAGAATCTTTATTGAACATTTCCTTTAAAAGTGCATACTGATTGTTTTATCTTATTAATAAAATACTTCTTTAGGTATGGATTCTACTGTCTTCATGGAAGCAAGCCTTATCTCAGAAGTTTGTACTATGAAAGAAAAATGAAAAATAAGTACATGAAAAAGAGAGAGAATAATTATAATATTTTTATTGCTCATTTTTGTGTCTTCCATGAAGGTTTAATGTAGACACTAACATCATTTTTCTTATTTAAAAAATGAAATAAAAGAGCAAATGCACTGATAAAAATCCAACAGATACTGCTAGGAAATAGAAGTGTAGGAGACACTTAACAGAGATGAGTAATGGGACCAGGCCCATATGGACTGACAGTACCTCAAATAACAAGGAAAGGAAATACTGAAAAGGGAAAGAACAGAATGAAATGACAACTCAGAGAGCAGGCAAAGAAATATCAGTGTGACATCTACATAAGCAAATATATCATTATTGAGAATTTGGTGAACTCTCTTGCTGGATAAAAATCAGGACTGGTAGTAGCCATCCTATAAAATATGTGCAGTAAGGAAATTAAACATTCTTATCCCTTTCTGTTTATCATTTTAAATGTACTTTCGGTTTTAAATGAAAGTTTAGAATATTTTAATTTTAAAATGATTTACATTTTATGCATTTGGCTCACTGAACATTTATTAATGGCAAACTGTGTAAAAATCCTGTATTCAAAGATTCAGAGATAAATAAGATAGTGTGTCCCTGTTTACAATCTAGTAATGGGAGACGAGATATACACAACTAACAGTCATGTCACTTAGATGTGGTAAGTTCATAAAAGCAGTACAAAGTGCTTATGAGAGTTTAGAAAAGAGAGAAGTCACTTCAAGTGTGGAAAGGGGTGGGGTAGGATGAGGAGTTTGTGAAGGCTCCACAGAGCAAGCTTTGTCATAAAAACTTGGTAATTAATTACCAAGAGCCCCATAATCTTTTTTGTATTATCAAACTGATTTTTTCAAGTATTTCCCCTTTCCCCAAGTAGTCGTGTTAAGATTGTAATCTCTGTTTCCGTCATTGTCCTTTTCCAACTTTTCAGAACTACATATCTCCCTAAATTAGTTTAATATCCTACCCTTACTTTATACATGGCATATACTTGGCATGATTTTCACTTTGTAAGATCAGAGTAAAATCCCATGGGAAAAGGTTGTGTTTTATGTATATAATTAATTTATATGTCCTACCTTTACATGTTATGATTTATACATTAGGCATTATGGGATCATAGGATTTTGAATTTGGAAGAGGCCTTAGGGATTCTCTAGTCCAGTCCTCAATTTTATGACTGAGGAAACTGAAGCCCAGAATGGTGAGGTAACTTTCCCAAGGCAACACAGCTAATTAGTAAAAGAACCTTGACTAGCATTCGAATTATCCTGACTCTTAATCTAGTATTCTTTCCACACCAGCCAGTCAACAAGTATTAAGCACCTGGTATGTTCTAGGCACTAGAAGTAAAAGTATAAAGAATAAAAAAATCCCTACCCCCAAGGAGCTTTTTATTTGAATGGGAAAGAGTGAATGGATGAATTATTTGAGCACTTATTCTGCACACATACCTGTGCTGTGTGCTGGACATACAGTATAATAGATAGCCCCTTTCTCAAGGAGCTCACATTCTAATAAGCAAAGACTTACACAGCATAAATGGAAAATGGATACATACCAATATGATGCAAAGTAAATCCAAGGTGGCTTGAGAATAGGGCATTGGCAGTTAGGAAGACCAGGAAAGGTTTTGTGCTGGAAATGTTGCTTAAGTTGTGTCTTAAAGAAAGAAGAGACTCCATTTGGCAGAGCTGAGGAGATGGTGTTACGGGCCAAGGTGGGGCTGCGAGGGGAGGGGAAAATGGCCAGTAAAAGGCATGGTGTAAATCCTGTCAAGGGGAGAACAGAGAAGAAGGCCAGTTTGGCTGGCTCATAAAAATGTGGGACAGGGAACATTGTCCAGGTCCTGTATATTTGCTGTTTGGAGGAGTTAATTAAAAAACACAAAAGCAAAGCCCATCAGTCTCTTTCCATTGTTCTTACTCTGGCCTGGTCAAGTACAGAACTGCTTGGTTTGTTCTTCCAGTAACATAATCTTACCATTCTGGTCTTCCTTATCTTACTCATCATTCCTTATTTTACTACCTTTGGCAAAGCCAAAGCCACCACAGGGCCTTTGGGCTTTGTTCTTAGCCACCCCGTAGCCAGTAACATTTTATGTATTTGATGGTTTGAGAGGTCCCATTAGTGTAAAATTTCGACATAGGGGATCTTTTCCTGAGGGAAAAGAAAAAGCTATGTATATATTTTCAAGGTAAAGGGCATCACCACCTCCTATTTTTTTAACTTTTACAATCCCTTTCAATTCTCTGCTTCTGCTAAATTGGGGCTATAATTATAATTCAACTAAACAGTTCTTCATGGGTAACATTCTCTTTTAGCCTTACTGTTATTAGACAGCTAGAAACACAGCAAGCACCCACGCATGGGAACTAACAAGAGAAATAGATGTCCCAGACTTCTCCCACAAGCATGGTGCAGATCAGTGGTGGTGGGGCTATGCAGTGTCAACTGGATGTTTTCATTGAATGGGACAGGGAAGAGAAAGGAAGAGAGTGTTTATTAAGCACCTACTATGTGCCAGGAACTGTGCTAAGTGCATTATAAATATCTCTCAGAACATTTTTTATTATTCTTTGATTTGATTTGTTACCAGTAAGTGTTGTAAACCACTTGTTGATAGGGATTGTGACATCTGCTTTTGGCACAGTCATACAAACCCAAAAATTAATGAAAGATTAATAGAGTAATTAGGATAGTTCAGTGCCTGTGACAGTCCCTGGTCCATAGTAGGCACATAACAAATGCTTCTTGACTGTTAGAAGAAGCTTATTTCATAAATGTTTCTCTTAGTCAACCTTTTCCCTAAATGAGTGCACAGGATAATTATTTAACCCATTCTTCTTGAACCATAACCTCACTGGGTTTAATTGGTCTCCTTCCAAGATTATGTTTTCATCAGAACCACAGATCTGTTATCAAGGACTTCCAGAAACTAGACCCTAGGTAGTTTGATTTCCTGGTGTGCCACCTGTTCTCAATGACTTCTGGAGCACCTCTTAACTCTGTCGAGCCCTTCCTGGAACAATACCACAATTTTTATTGACAGTAATCTGGATTTGGGCTTTCAGAATCATACCCAAAGTGGCACATCGAGTATTACAATACCAGCTGCCAACATACAAAGCAAAAAACACTTCCTAATCCCCATATGTGGTATCAGGTGGCACCCTTATAGTCCTAGGTTTAACAAAATCAAATAGCACAAGCAGCAGTTACAAAGGAACATCACGGGTTCATTTTCTATTCATAACACATTGGTGTAGTGGAAACTAATATGGTCTAAGACTTTTATTATATTGAACTTCATTCTTGCCTTTTTCAACCAGGACTAGCCTGAAAATATATGTCCAATAAATAGCATATTCTCCTTTTCTCAAAAAAAAAGGAAAGCAGTTCAAACAATCTGGCACTTCTAAAAATTCACATTTACCCAAAGACAAGGGGGGAAATTGGCAGCAAGAGCAGCTTTTGTCAGGCCTCTTTGCCAGCTCCAAAAATTCTGGGACACTCAATCTAGCTTTAGCTGTTTGTTAACCTCAGAGGCACTTGAGAGGGCTCAGGCACTTAGTCATAAATCCTTTTATTAGGGGGATTTGTTCTGTGAAGTTAGGATTCAGTCAGTCCACACTTGAGGACCTAGAGGGCCACATGTGGCCTTGAGGTCACAGATTCCCCACTCCTGGCCTAGTGGATAGAATACTGGGGTCTGGAGGCAGGAAGACCTAAAGTTAAATCTAGCCTCAAATACTTCATAGTTGTGTGACCCTGGGCAAGTCACTTCTGTTTGCCTCGGTTTTCTCAACTATAAAATGGAGATAATAATAGCACCTGTCTTGCAGGGTCTTTGTGAGGATCAGATGAGATAATTATAAAGCATTTAGCATGGTTCCTGTCATGTAATAGACACTATGTAAATATTCCCTTCCCCCTTGGAAGGAGTGTTAAGAGTATCCCATCCTATATGTCATCTCAATCCCTAAATCATTTGTCCATCAGCCTGATTTGGGGACAGTCGTCATCTTGCTTCCATCTTCAGAGCAGGTGGAAAAGAACAGGATTGCAGGATTATATGGGCAAGAACAGGTTTGGGGGTAAAACCTACCAATCGAGGAACGGTAGAGATTTGAAGAAGTGGGCATCATCCTCCTTCCTTCCCTCTCGTTCTTAAAAAGGGC